GCATTTGTGGCTTATTGTCTCATGCTTAATGAAAAAAATAGCTTAAAATAAGAGTAAATAATGTATGAATGCTAATTAATAGCAAAAATTAATAAATTGTACTTACTTTTCTTAATAATTCTCGCAAATTCTTTTTGGATTTCTTTATCTTTTGGTTGCTTTCAATTACCTATTGTCAAAGTTTCTCTTTTACTACTGAGGACGTGTTTTCGGGTTTGCGGTTTTCGTAGAATATTTTTTCATAACAAAGCTCTCATAAAAGCATTCAAAAACTATCGATATTTTCATAAAGTATTAATAAATATACATTTAAAATCATATAAATTATTCTTGAAGATTTTTTCAATTCAGAAGCAATTTAAATAAAATAAACCCTATTTATTATTTTAGAGTTTACAATATACGCTAACAATAATATCAAAATCTAAGAAATTATTAGTTTTTCATCCGGTTTGTTTTTTTTAAAAAATTTATTGTTTTAAGTTTTTTTTTCAAAATGTAATTTTATTAAATATATTTTTTCAATAGTTTTTTCTTTTTTTTTTGGCCTCTTTCTTTTTCATTGGTTTGACATCTCCATTGAATTCTGTGGATAATTTCCGATGTGCTTATTCTGGGTGTTTAGGGATTTTTTCTTATAATGCTATATGTAATTATAGTTGTCAATATTCTAGTATTTGTGATTTTACTACAAACCCTCCTGTTTGTTCTAAACCACCCCACTTGTTCTCTGCAAAATCCTATTATATGTACCTTTGATTATTCAAATACTTGCAGTTTTTCATGCAACTATCAAAGTTCTACTGGATTTACTTGTAATTCTTGTGTATAATTAATAATTTATAATTGTTGAGGAAAAACCTAGTGGGAAAAAACCTTATTTAATAATTTAAACTAAAAAAGCTAAAAATGATTATATTTAATATAATAAAAACTGTAAATCCAAAATATTAATATAATATATTTAAAATAAATCAAATCTAATAATGTGGCAGCTCATGAGAAGACACAAAATTACAAACTAACAAATCAAAATATTTCAGCAAAATGAATTTGAAAAGGCTCGAAAAATAAATACCAAACAATATCTTATAGGCGTTAACGTTAAATATGAGTTAAAAGTAATGAAATCAAAAAATAATAAGAATATGAATTAAAAGTAATGAATTAGAAAATAGGAAAAATAATAAATATAGTAATGAAAGTGAGAAATAATACAAAATATTTAAACATTGCTATTTCAAAGTGAGTATAGTATTATCAACTTTGTAGTAATTTTCTAACATAAGACTAGAAGTACTAGATATTTTATTTACATAATTTCCATGTTCTACCAACTCTTAATCAACTTTATTTTTATATATATTTAGATTATTATAATTTGCTTCCTGAGTATTCTCAAGCTTTATTTTCCACGTAGTGTAAGGACTTAACATCAATTCACCTTCCTTTAATTTTTTATATACATTATTGCTATCAATTGGACTGTTATTTTTTTTTCAAAGCTGTATATTATTTTGAGTTTATCACTTGTTATTACATAAAATTTATTTTTATATCTATGAGTTACCCAAGTGAACCATAATAACTCTAAATCTATTAAGCTCATTATCGATCTCATTTTGTTTTGCCTCATCTATTGTTTTAAATCTGATCTCTATCATATCAAATTTGATTGCGCTTTTATTAGAATCACTTTTTGTTATATTAGTCTTTAATATTACTTCCTCTCCGCTTAGCAACTTTGATATTTCTTGACTATATTCTTCATTTTTCCATTCAAAAAATGGTCTTGAGAATTTATTTTCAATAAATTCTCCATTCATTATAGACTTATCATGTTTATTAATAGATACATAGTATTCCAATACTTTTGATTTCAGGATTTGTATTTGATGTATGACATCATTCATGTCTTTATCATTACTATCTAAATTAGAACCTGGTAGTAAACTGAATTCATCTGAATAAATATGTGCAAATGGAAATATCTATTGTGTGAATGTATTTATAGCTCTTTTATAACATCCTAATATAATGTTAGATTTTATTATTAGGTCTAGACTTTCAATAGCATCTTTCAGTTTTTTATTTTCTATTTTTATTTCATTAGCATTTGGCGAGCTAATATTTGCTATATAGTTAGCAAGCATTGCTTGATCAT